ACCTCAGCCTCCAGAGAGCTAGGAGTACAGGTATACACTACCATATCTGGCTAAATATCCTAATTTTAACAGCAAACATACTCCATAAAATTTTAGCAAATCCAGACAACTATTTAGGTCAACTACAGAAATGGGTAAATACTACTAAAGAAAATTACCAAGTGAGAAATCGCCTCCAAGGTAGAAACTTTATCCACAATAAAGGTTCACTCAGAAAAAAAAGTCTTTAAAATAAACAGGGGCTCAAGCTTTTTTTTTTTTTTGGGGGGGTACTGTTTGAACTCAGGGCCTATGCCTTGAGCCACTCCACCAAGCCCTTTTTTTGTGATGGAGTTTTTGAGATAGGGTCTCATGAATTATTTACCAGGCTGGCTTTGAACTGTGATCCTCTTGATCTCTGTCTTCTAAGTAGCCAGGATTACAGGCGTGAGCCACAGCACCCCGTCTGATGCTATTTTAAAGTTCAATGACATTTTTATATTTTTCAAGTAATGAGATTTTGTTTGTCTCTGAATCAAACTGGGGAAATTCCTTTCTACTCCTAATTTGTTGAATGTTTCTCATGAAAGGGTGTCTTTTCTGTCTACTGAGACAATCATGTGGTAAAATACATTTTTTTCTATGTTGAACCAACCTTGTATTCCTGGGATAAATCCCAGTTGATCACGGTTTATCACTTCTCTGCCTTTTGGCTAAGACCAAGTATAGATCATAGTATACAATTCCTTTTACCCAGTACTGTCTGTTACTGCATTCACTTTGATAACATTTTATTGTAGATTTTTGCATCTACTTTCAGCAAGTCTATGTTTTTCTTGTAAAATCTCTAGCTATCAGGGTAATTCTAGCTTCATATAATCAGCTAGAAAACGCTCCCCTTCCTATACCCTATTGTTTTTTAAGCATTTGTGAAGGATTGTTGCTAGTTCTTACCTAAGTATTTGATGGAATTCATTAGTGAGTCATTTGGTTCTGAGCTTTTCTTTGAGACTTTATCTCTTAAAAATAAGTTAAGAAATTTCAAGTTTAATCTATGAGTCTTAGAATGAGGAACAGAAAAATGACCTAATGCTCTTGGCTGTTTTAAAAATATTAAGCAGTTTTAAAAATAGGTAGTGTGTAATTTGTTTTTTTTTTTTGACATGAGGAAGTCTTCCTTTCATGTAGGCTATCCAGTCACCTAGTATACCCTTTAAATTTTAGGCCTTAGGGGTTTTAGACATCTTAGCTAAGACTCATAATCCTCACAAGAACCCCAGGGTATTTTATCACCCCACTTTACATGTAAGGAAATTAAAACTAAGAGAAAATAATCTGCCCAAGGTCATACCTAAAGATATGTTTATAAGCAGAAATTCAAGTCATGAACCTTGGTCAGCTACTTAATTTGTCATCTGGGGTGAATTACTAACCTCTGGGCCTCAGTTTGTCCCTAAAAATGACATTAACAATATGTACCTCTTAGGAGTCTTATGTAAGCAAAACGCATGTCACCTGCTTCTGACAGTGTCATCTGTAGCATGTGCTCAACATTAGCAGTGATTTTTCTGTTGCAGGACACTGCTAACACTGTGTTCAATTTTAATGCTTCCACTTGCACCTACTCAAAAAACAAAAACATTTAGGAGGGAAATATACACAAAACTCAGAGTGGTCTTTCTGAAAATGCTCAACCATTTAAAAATACATACACTTGGTCATGGTGCCACCCTCCGTTAGTCACAGCTACTCTAGAGGCTGAGGTGGGAAGATTACTTGAGCCCAGTTCAAGACCACCTGAGCAAAACACTGAGATCTGGTATCAATAATTCTACCTTATTTGACGCGAATACTCAAAACACTGAAGATTTTCTAAATTCAGGGCCTCTCATTTGCTAGGCAGGTGCTCTACCACTTGAGCAACTCCACCAGCCTTGTCTTGTGTTGAGTATTTATTTTCAAGACAGGGTCTCAAGAATATGTGCTTGGGCTGGCTTTGAATCTCGATCCTCCTGATCTCTCCCTCATGAATAACCAGGATTATAGGCATGAACCACCAACACACAGCTCCAAATTCATTCCTTTAAAATCTTTCATTTTTATTATCATATATTCATTGTACAGGGGGAATTCATTGTACCAATTCCCAACAGCCTTATATTGAACATTGGTTAGAATGCCCTCCTTAAAAAAATTCTTAAGTAATTTTTACTGTTCACAGTTCAGCTTAACACTTGTTGCCATAACAAAGCATTCAGCCAGCACTTTCCTGTCAAGTTTTCCAGTAAGCAACACAGGTTACAATTAGGCACTTTATTATTAGGCATTTTTATTATTGCCTAGGAGTTATCATGAGCTTCCAATCCTACTTTCATGGTTCATTACACTTTTTCAAAGTAGTTTCATATTCACCAGCTATCTATGTCTTCCAGTTACTCCTTAAACATGACATCTGGAGACTTTCATTCCCATTTTAAAGACACAAGAACCAAAATGATACATAAGCTAGTTACCATGTTGGGCACTGAATTCAAGTGTCAGAAACCTGGATCTAGCTTATCAACTGCCATTTCATCCCTCTAAGCTGTCTTGAAAGGCAAAGTGATCTCTAACTAAAAGGATGCAACAGTATGATTGCCAAAACTGCAGCAACTTCTGTCAATGTTTGTGCTTTGTGGCCCTTGGAAGATAATGAGCTAACTGAACTGTCGGTTAAGATAGCAAGGTGGAGAAGGAGGAATGCTGACACCCATTTTCATATTGGTCAGAAATGTGTTGTGTGACATTCACTCCAATACAGAGTTCACTGGAACCTTCTCTTGATCCAGTTACCTCGCTTATTTGTGCACCCTGGCTGGTACAAAGGAGAACTCCCACACAACGGTTCTTTTCTTCTGCTATAAGTTTAATAATAGCGGATGTATGACAGGGAATTGACTCTACTCATGACCCTCAAACACTCCTGGAAGATTAAGATACAGAAGGATTGTAAAGATAAATACAATTCTTCCCCTTAAAAAGCTGTACTAAATTGAGTCTCCATCACTCCCATCTCCTGCCTATGAAGCAGGTTTCTCCTTCCCTTTCCTATATCTCCTTACTTTATCCTGTTTTGCTGAAATAAATCCTTGCTAAACTCCAAGAACAAGTATTTAAAAAATTAAGCAGAACCTTCCATTTTCTAAACTAGAGACAAAGAGACTTAACTGCGGTTCACCTTTGTCCTCTCAAGCGTTTAATATTCAGCTCAGTTTAACTTCCCACATCCAGCAATCACTTGTGTCACGCTGAGCAGTTAATGCACAAGGCCGTTTCTTTTCCCCATCATCATAAACGTGACTTTAGGTCCTGGTATACACTTGGTGAACTAACTCAAAGACTAGGCTGGATGTAAGTGTAGTGGATCAAGGCATTCAGACCATCACAATTTACTGCAATTTTTACTCCTCCAGCATTTACTACAGATCTTAATTTGATCCTCACGAATCCATCAGGTTTATTAAATGTATTACAGGGGACTGGGGCAAAACCAGGTAGGAAAACTGCCCCCCAAGTTCACATAGCAACAATGGCTGATGAAGTGCTTGAACCAGAGCCTTAACCTTCACCAAGACATCAAAAAATGCCTAGTCCTCAACTGCAATCCCAATGTGACCATTAAACTAGCTGCGTGACCTTGGGCCAGTCATTTCATACCTGTAGGCCTCTCTCCTCCACTGATCAGCCAGGTGTGCTAGGTGAGCTTTCGGTTTTCCTGCGTTTAAGGTCTGCTGAATCTCCAACTGGATCACTCCCGACACCTAAGTAAGGGCTGCACTTGGTTCCGCCTGAAGTTTTGAAAGCACTGCGCGTTCCAGTACATTCTCCTTGCTCTCCAGGGTGCTAGGATTCAGTCTCCGCTTGGAGAGCTTAGTTTTCAAATACTGAACCTGTAACGCTAATCCTATATAATATCTCTGGGTCTAATTCAGCTTTCCCTACTACTAGGGGGTACCTACTAGGCCCGCTCCCAACTCCAGACCTTTTACCAGGTTACTCAGCGCCCCTCGAGGTGGCCCGGGCAGCCAGCAACAGGCTTTAAAAAAGCCTTAGAACCAAGGCCATAAAACAAATTGGCTTTCTCGGAGGTCAAGGGGGGGCGGGGGGCCTAGGACACCTGCCACGCCTCCCGACCCTGGCGGCGCGGCCTGGGCCTGACTCCCCAGATTCAAGCGGCCCGGGTTCGGATCATTCTCCTCACTGCCGGCACGTTCGCCTGGGCCAGCGCCCTCGAAACCAGCCCGGCCCTTCAGACCCCGACCACGCCCGACCCCCCAGGCCGCGGCGCCGCGCTCGCAGGCCCCCGGGAGTCCTCACAGGCCCGAGGACGCGTGCAGGCCTCCCGTCTCACCTCGAGCCTCACGGGGACCACCGGCGGTGCCCGCGCCTTCTCCCACCCGCACACCTGGCCCCGCGCTGCAGTGAAGACAGAGGCGGAGGCGGCCTGCCCGTCACGTGCCGCAGAACCAAGAGGCCTCGGCTATCGCCGCCGCGCGAGCGAGCCCCACTGCACGAAGCCCAGCCCTGAGACCGCCCCTCGCTCCTGAGTAGCTATGATCGGTGCCAAGTCCCGCCCCCCCGCGCATGCTCTGAGATTCGGTTGGTCGATGCGACCATCGCTCTACGTATCTTCCCATACGCCCCCTAGGGCTATTCTTCGTGGAGTGTGAGGATTGGTCGACAGTGAGGCAGGAAGTGGCTGTTGGTTGGGCTGGAGATAAGAGGGAGGGCCGCAATCAGGCGGGCGGGCGCGCGCGTCCCGGGGCGGGGCGGAGTGGGCTCGGTCGGCGTTCTCGCGCCCAGTTGCCCCGGTGCCTTAGTGGGCGCGCCGCCCTGCGCTTCAAGCGCGTTTCCCACCGCACGGATCCCTGAGTCTGGAGCCGGCATCTACTGCCCTTCGCTGCAGAAGCGCATGGCCACGGACAGAAGTGGTGGGAGGCCGGGTCGGCTATCACAAAGAGCCGTTTACCTTTGGCGCAAGTATGGGCCCCGACGGGTCTCAGTCGGATCCCGACCCGGGCTGCCGTGCTCGGCCTGGACTGCACAGACAGCGCTTTGTAAGCAGGCGCCACCGTTCCTGCAGAGTCATTGCTCTGGGCCCAGGAGTCTGGAACCACCTAACATAAAACACAGTCTAGAACAATGTAATCAGATTATTTTAACTTTCCACTTATGTATGCCCCGAAATAAGATTAAACAACCCGATGACAGGGTTGAGATGAAAGAATGGTGCAATGGGAAACCGGTTTTTAGCACATCTTTTTCCGCTTGCTATAATGCTGAAAACCCCAGAAAATGGAAGTAGCCCAGGGTTGGACTAGATCGTTGGAAGTCCTGGTCTCCTCCATTTGTTTGGAGACCAAAACCCTTGACTGCTAGGGGAGGGGAAGTAGAATCAGTGGGTGAATCGCCTGTACCTAAATAAAGCCAGCTCTGTTCTTTCCTGCCACCCAGAAGGAGAAGAGGAGTCAGCGTTTGATGTTTTGAGTGAATTTAGTAACCTGCAACTCTCAGCCCCCAAATTTACATGATAGAGTTGTGCTTTTCTTTATAGAATATCCACTTTTCTAGGGGAGTGAATATTCAAAGCAGAATAGAATTCTGAAGACAGGTGTGGTCCTGTCTCTAGTCCTAGCTACTCAGGAGGCTGAGGCAGGAAGATTGCTTGAGCTCTGGAAATTTGAGACCAGCCTGAGTGAGATAACAAGACACCCCTTCCCTTCTTAAAAAAAAAAAAAAATCTAGAAGACACATGTTCCAAATAATGAGCTTAAAATGTAGTTACGGGAACCATACATTAGCAAAAGAGTTGCTCCAACAAAAGTGAGTGCTAAAAGATGATGGTACTGAATTTAGTAGGAATTCCACCTAGAACGGATAGAGAGAAAGGTAAAACGTGGGCTGGATTTGATATGCAGCATTTCTATAGATTCAGAGTTAGAGGAAGGCTTTAGATGAGGGAACAGTGTATGCAAAGGCAGGAAAATGGGCCTCTTATGTTTGGGGACATGAGGTACAAGAGTGTGTTGCCTGGAGAGGGTGTTAAGGAATGCAAATGATAGGAGGTCAGCTCCAGATTGGATTGGACTGGGCCTTGCAAGCCTAGCCAGGGAGTTTGAGGAAGATATTTTAGATGTTGGTCATGATTTCAAGATTTAGGAAAGTATTGTTTTAATATTATTCCAGGGAGGTCTGAAGGCAGCTGGGACCAGTTAGGAAGCCACCCTGTGTAACCGATAAAAAAGCAGGGCTAGAGAACAGCAGGGCATATACAAAAACTGTTGTTGCTGAAGAAGGGTCCATTGAACTCAGGAGGCTTGGGAAAGGAACCAAAGTTCCTGAGGGTTTGAGCCTGGGTGCCTCCACAGGTGAACTGTGGAGCCCCAACAGCAAGAAAATGCAAGTGTGGCTGAGCCTGGGTCTGGACCTGAGGAGATAGGGGTTTCTCAGCTAACGAATGTTCTTAAAGATGGGCACCGGTGCTCATGCCTGTAATCCTAGCTATTCAGGAGGCAAATAGTTCCTGAGACCCTATCTCGAAAATACCCAACACAAAACAGGACTGGTAGAATGGCTCAAGTAGTAAACCGCCTGCCTAGCAAACATGAAGCCCTGAGTTCAAACCCCAATACTAACAACAAAAAAAATTGAGTGGAAAATTCCAGAACTAAAAACTCGTAAGTTTCAAATAACTTTTATTACAGTGTATTGTTATAATTATTCTACTTTCTTATTAGTTATTGTTAGTCTTACTTTGCTTAATTCATAAATATCGTATGTATGTGTGGGATAAAACATAGTAGAGGCTGGTGGAGTGGCTCAAGTGGTAGAACCTGTTTAGCAATCGTGAGACCCTAAGTTCAAACCCCAGTACCACCAAAAAAAATACATATTATACATAGGATTCAGTGCTATCTTAGGTTTCAGACATCTGAGGAATGTCTTGGAATGCATCCTCCATGGATAAGAGGTAGGAGCTACTGTATAGTGTTGGCTGTCTGACTTCTTTCAGGTTTTTTTTTGGGTGTGTATGTGTATGTGTGAGTGAGTGTGTGTGTGTGTGTGTGCGCGCGAGAGTGTGTGCGAGTGACACTGGGGATTGAACCCAGGGGATGTGTCTGGCTTCTTTCAATCAGCATGTTGGTCTGTGGTCTCATCTACGTTGTAACCTTCGTCAGCAGTTTCATTCTATTTTAATCATGGTGTGATTCTACTACAGTTTATCCATTCACCAGGTAACCAACACCTGAGCTGTTTCCAATTTTTGGCTATTGTGATATAAAACTGCTGTTGAGACAAAGCTTCACTATATTTATGTTTCTGGTGCACACACCCACACTAACTCTTTGCCTGGGGTGGCCTTGAACCTCTAGCTTCCTGATCTCTGCCTCCCGAGTAGCTAGGACTACAGGTGTGAGTCATGGGACCCAGTTTGTATAAAATTTTTTTTTAGAAATCTTGCACATCCCCACTGAGTGCTGGTGGCTTACACCTGTAATCTTAGCTACTCAGGATGCAGAGATCAGGAGGATCACTGTTTGAAGCCAGCCCAGGCAAAAAGTTCACAAGACCCTATCTCGAAAAAATCCACAAAAAGGGGCAGGGGGGAGTGACTCAAAGTGAAGGCTCTAAGTTCAAGCCCCAGTACCGCAAAAAATAAATACATAACTCCTTCCACCATCTTTCCTGAATGTCCTGGCTGAAGCTCTTGGGAGCACCCACAATGCTAAAAAGAGTTTCGAACTCCAGGTCCTTGTTAGGCCATGTTCCAAAGTCATTGTCTGGTTTCCAACTGTGAAGGGTGATGAAACATAGTTACACAGGCAAATGTGAAACCACCGATGATCACAGAGCTGGGGAAATGGCTATGAACCTCACAGGCAGGTTAAATGAGTGTGGAGTGATCAGCCCAGAGACCTTGAAAGTGGCAGAATAATCTGTTCCCAACCTTTCAGTTTGGTTTCATTGTCCTGACAACCTCAGCTGTAATCATGGACCATGAAGAAGGCAAGATGAAACACACTGGAACTTTGTATTCTTTTTCTAGGGATGTAAAACACACAGGCAAATAAAATGCCTCGATGGACATGGAAAAATAAGTGATTAAATGAATAAATAAAATCTAAACCCAAAATTGTCGATTTTACATTCACATGGTTTTGTTTTGTTTTTGAAATGGTGTCTTGCTATGTTGCCTGGGCTGGTCCCAAATTCCTGGACTCAAGGGACCCTCTGAGCCTCAGCCACTTTTCTGTGCCTAGTTCGACACAGTTGTGCATGACAGTTTTTCATAAAACTTTATTGAGATATAATTTACAAACTATCAAGCTTGCCCATTATAGGAAAGAACAATTTGATTACTTGTGTGTGTGTGTGTGTGTGTGTGTGTGTGAGATACTGGGCTGAACTCAGGGCCTACACCTTGAGCCACTCCACCTTTTTGTGATTTTTTTTTTTAAGATAAGGTCTCCCGAAGTATTTGCCCAGGCTGGCTTTGAACCTCGATCCTCCTGATCTCTGCCTCCTGAGTAGCTAGGATTACAGGTGTGACCATCGGCACCCAGCTTGATTATTTTTGAGTAAATTTATAGACTGTGTCACCACAACCGAAACTTAAACTATATCTACCACCAATCAACTTCCAGCCTTCCCCAGACAGCTACTGAAATGTTTGTTGCTCTTTAAATTCCCTTTTCTAGATATTTTATATGAATGACATTAAATCATATTTTGTAGGAGGCCATGGATCTGAACTGAGAATCTGCCCTGGTTCCAACAGACCAAACTGATAGTTTCATTATAGTTACTGAGCTATTGATTAAGCTGCTTTCCATGTCTCACTGTGTTTTCCTATAGATAACATTGCTGGCTGGCATTCTCAGGACCTACTCTGGTTCTGGGAGCTGCTTGACTTCCAAATCATGTTTTTTACTAGGTTTTGCTCAAATAAGTTCTTCTAAATTTAATTGGTCTAAGGAATTTTCCCTTTTTTTTTTTTGTCAGTACTGGGGTTTGACTCAGGGCTCTATATTTGATAGCCAGGAGAGGAATTTTCCTTTTAATGAAGGAATCATACACTCTGTGCTCATTTGTGGTATCTGACTTCTTTTGGATATTTTTGCAGTTTGTATTGTAACATGTATCATCACTGCACCCCTTTTTTATAGTTGAATAATATTCCAGTACATGGATATACCACATTTAATCAATTCATCAGTTGAAAGACATTTGGATTGTTCACAGTTTTTGGCTATAATAGCTAATGCTGCTATGAACATGTTTTCAATTTTCTTGGATAACAACACTTGGTAGTTGAACTGCTGACTTGTAAATTTAGGTTTAGCTTTGTAAAGGAACTGCCAAATTGGGTTGTTCTCACTCTACATATGACCCACTTTCAGTCTATTGAAACTATATTCCTTTCCTAATAAACTTTGCTACCATTTTCACTATATATAAAAAAAGAAATTGCCACATTGCTTTCCGAAGTAGCTGTTGCATTTTACATTCCCATGTCACAGGGTTCCAGTTTTTCTACATCATTGTAACATTTGCTGTCGCCTCTTTTACTATTATCCATTCTAGTGGGTGAGTAGGAGTATCTCAGTATGACTTGTTCCAGGTCCAGTGAGCCCCCTTTGGCAGTGGAGCTGATAGGTTGTATAGCCTGCCCAATTCGTCTTGGTACAACTACCCTGCTGTGGGTAGTTGCAGTGTGCACAGCCCCAGGCAAAAATGCACATTTCTCAGCTGTGTTCAACAGCTTTTCATAAACAAACACTTTGCAAATTCTCATTTGTTTTTGGTCAATTTTCAGAGTCCTAAGTGTCTTTTTTTTTTTTTAAGTTTTCTCCATCTTTATACTTGTAGTAAGAGTTTTCTGGGGAGAGGATTTGCCCATCTCATTCTGCCAAACTGCCACACTCACATACTCAGTTTAAGGTTTTTTCCCTCTGTTTTCTGTTTGCTTATTCATTTTTAATTTTTTTTGTTTGCAGTACTGGGATTTGAACTCAGGGCCTATACCTTGAGCCACTCCACCATCCCTTTTTTGTGG